CAAAATGACTGTTTCATACCAGTCTCATCGATACCGATGTTTTGTGACATACCCAGGTATCGGTATGTTTCAGCCTCGAAAGGGTCCTTAAGTAGACGGGCATAGATAAGTCTACGCCCTCAGAGTTAGCAACCCTTCCCCTTTCAACATGGAGGACCAGACACTTATCCGTCCCAAGCCCCATTCCAATGGATTTGCTAAATTTACAAGTGATGTTTAGCAATTCCATAAGATGGGAGCGACTGGAGGCGAATAACTTGAGGTCATCCATATAGAAAAGGTGGGTCACTTTTGTCCCTCCTTTCCGTAGCTGAAATCCCGGAGCCCTCCAGTAAGGTACTGAGAGGGTTCAGAGAGAGGCCGAATCAGATTGGACTCAGACAATCGCCCTGAAAGATACCCCTTCTTATCCTTATGTGGTTCTCCGCAGCCATCATCCGCTCGCCCAGATGACAAAGGATCGTACTCCACTGCCCCATACATTGCGCGAGGAAGTCTCTAACTGTACAGTCTATCTTGTACAGCGCGAGGACTCTTTTTAGCCATGTATGGGGCACCGAGTCGAATGACTTTCTGTAGTCTATCCAGGCGGCGGAGAAGTTCCGACGGTTTCGTTTCACCACTTTGCCAATGACCGCGTCAATGAGGAGTGGTTCCTTCGGTTCCACGAACACCGCCCCGACATCCATTTTGAGCGCGCGACATCACCTGATTTGAGTCCAGGTGACAAGTGATTCTCGCGCTCAAAATGGATGTTAGTGTCTTGGTTATATGGTCGGTAGACACGTGATGGGGCGGTATTTGCTCGGGTCTGTGGTACCCTGGTCTTTAGGAACCAAATGAGTGATCCCAGTAGTGAAGAGGCTTGGGAGCGATTTCTGGTTGAGAGCCTCTTGAAACTGTCGGGCGAGCACAGAGTGACACACCATGAACCCCTTCAGCCAGTAGTGATGCAGCCCGTCAAGCCCCGGACTTTTCCAGTTCGGGGCCCCACGGACCGCCTCAGCTACGTCATCCGGCGTTATGATGACGGGGTCCATGGGCGTAATACCCGCACACTGACTCGCCACAACTTCCGTCCAAGGGCCCTCGCTGTGGTTTACGGGCTCTGACCACAGGCCGTGCCAGAATGCTACAGTGTCGGCCTGATTCGTTGCTGGACCCGTTCCACTTGCAATTGGTCGCTCCAATGATTCATAGAGCCTCTTCTGATCACTCTGGAAGAGACGATTCTGGTTGAACCGTGTCGACCTCTCGGTATATCGCCGAATCCGCTTTCCCCAAGCAGCGATTCTCTGCTTCAGATCATCTATGCGCTCCGTCAGTTTTTGCGTTATATCCGGCTGGGACAAACTGACATTTGTCCCAGCAAACGCCATCCTGACGGTGCGCACAATTCTTGGCCTGTTGTTGCCTGATCTGTAGCATATCAGTCTGCCGATGAGAGCTCTAGCCTTTGCGATACGTTCCTCAATTCTTCTTCTCCATGCTGGGATAGCGCTACTATGGCCAGTAGCGCGTCCAGCCGTGGAAACCTTGGCGCCTATGATACGGCAGACTGCCAGCGCGGCGCCAAAAAGAATTGAGTCCGTCTCGCAAAGGTCCCGGCTGGCTTCCAAATAGGTCACCAGCATTGGGTTCAGAGCCCTCACGACAGCCCGATTCCGCTTGCTTAGGGCTATGCAGGGAAGTCGCGGTTGATTTTCGAGAGGCGTACTGCGCGTTTCCACAATCGCTTCTTCCAATGTACTCCTCATACGCTCTAATTCCAGTTCCTGGGCGACTGTTCCATCATCGTTTGAATCAACCACAACTGAGGTATTCACGGCGGCATCCACGTTCGCGGGTTGCTCTACCATTTGTGGCGCCGCATCCTCAGCCGTAGCATTCTCATCCGACGAGGGAACAGCCTCACGTCGTAGCCGTTCGAGTTCGGCGACATCAAATATATTTGAGCGCAAGATATACCGAACTCGGTCTGCCAGGTTTTGCTCTGTGACGGTTAAAGATGGCTCCAGCTCAGCAAAAAGACGATGCATCCTAGCCCGATACGCCAAACATCCAGTTTCTTCCCCTTTTGCCCTTAAGTACGCCCGCAGTGCGTTTGCATTCATTGATTTAGACCAACGCATGCGACGTGCTCCACCAGCGGCGGGTGCCGCTTGCTGAGTCCGAGAAGACCCAGCCGACACCAAGCGTTCTGGTGGGGATGATGGATGCGGAGGGCTGCTAGGTGACCGTGCAGCTCCTCGCGCTCGGCTGGCGGCCCGCATGCTGCCGCGTCCATAGCCAGCTCCAGACGCGCCCCGGCGTCCCCCAGGCAGCGGCCCTTTGCGCACTATCTTCTCATCCATCATCCATTATTTGGGCGTCCATTAACGGGAGACGCCCAGGCCCGGCACCGTTTCGTTCGTAGCGATAAGCACAAACGGGCCTCTGCATTCAAATTCTGCCGAGGCACGGCGCTCACACCTCTCGCAAGGCGCTGACTGACTGCGTTGACTTAGCAGTTTTGTTACTTAACTGTAACGTCAGCGGGCGATGGGGTCGTCAATTCCCTACGCCTTATTATTATTATTATTATTATTGTGGGGTATCTATATAGTTTTCTCATCTGGTTGGGTTCTATAAATATATAATTATAAATGAAAATAAAAAGATAAATATAAATAAATATCAATAACATAAAATAAATATAAAAATACATAAATAAATAAAAGCCCAACCAGATGGAGGCCCTCGGTAAGGGAGACCAAACGGCCGAGGGTTAGGGGGAAAGGGAAAGAAACCGGCGGACGATGCGGGCGGTATCGAGGAGCACCGCCTTCTGCATTTGAGCCCGGAGCGGTCCGCCACGTAGTCCCAGTCGCCTCAGATGACCCGAGAGGCTGCCTGGGATTGGTCCGTTTGCAGAGACGACTACAGTAATAATTTCGGTCGACAGACCACCCCACATGTCAGTCACCTCGTGAGCCAGGTCCAGATATTTTGTTTGCTTGTCTGTTTCGGCTTTCACGAGGTTCTCGTCATACGGAATGGTAATGTCGACCAAAAATATCCTTGACTGTGCCCGGTCCATCAGCACAATATCAGGCTTATTCGCAAGAATAGTCCTGTCTGTGATGATGGCCCGGTCCCAATAGAGCCTGGCGCGATCATTTTCGAGCACGGCTACCGGCAAGTACTTGTAATACGGCAATTTCCGATCCACGAGACCGTATTTCAGAGCGAGCTCCTGGTGAAGAATTCTGGCTACTAGGTTGTGCCTGTGCAAGTACTCAGAGTTAGAAAGCGCCGAACAACCAGAGATGACATGCCTAAGTGACTCACCGGGATGGCGACAAGCTCGACAGATGTCCACGGTGTCATCCTTTAGGATGTATCTCCCATAGTTGTTGGTCTTAATAACCTGATCCTGTATTTCACAGACAAAACCCTCGGTTTCCCCGAAGAGATCACCAAAGCGCAGCCAGTGGAGGGAGGCTACTGTGTCTACGAAAGGCTCATGTAGAGCCTTGTAGTACCTCCCGTGGAGCTCCTTCTCCTTCCATACGTTCTCCCGGTCGGAAATTGTCTGCACTGCCGGGTCTTGCCATTACTCGTTGGCTAAGGATAGAGGGGTAAGTCCTTTATCACTAGAAATGACGTCCTTATAGAATGGATCATCCGATCTCGCCAGGAAGTAATCACGGAGGCTGCACACTTCGCGATTATGCATGGTGAGCGCGCTCAAGAAGCCACGCCCACCATGCTTTCGCGGCAAGTACAGCCTCATTACCGACGATCTCGGATGATGCATCTTGTGGGACGTCATGGTAGTGCGGACTTTTCTATCCAGGGCGTTAAGTTCAGTCTGAGTCCACCTGAGTATGCCAAAGGTATACATGAGGACAGGCATGACCCAGCCGTTATATGCGTATGTCTTATTCACACCGGACAAAAGGCTGTTAAGCACTTTGGTCAAGCGTGCATAAAACACGTCGCAAACTGACTGTTTCATACCAGCCTCATCGGTACCGATGTTCTGTGACATACCTAGGTATTGGTATGTTTCAGCCTCGGAAAGGGTCCTTAAGTTGACGGGCATAGATAAGTCTATGCCCTCAGAGTTAGCAACCCTCCCCCTTTCAACATGGAGGACCGCACACTTAACCGTTCCCAGCTCCATTCCAATAGAATTGCTAAATTCACAAGTGATGTTTAGCAATTCCATAAGATGGGAGCGACTGGAGGCGAATAACTTGAGGTCACCCATATCGAAAAGGTGGGTCACTTTTGTACCTCCTTTCCGAAGCTGAAATCCCCTCCCGGAGCCCTCCAGTAAAGTACTGAGAGGGTTCAGGGAGAGGCAAAACCAGATTGGACTCAGACAATCGCCCCGGAAGATACCCCTTCTTATCCTTATGTGGTTCTCCGCAGCCATCATCCGCTCGCCCAGATAGCAAAGGATCGTACTCCATTGCCCCATACACTGCTCGAGGAAGTCTCCAACTATACAGTCAATTTTGTACAGCTGGAGGACTCTCTTTAGCCATGTATGGGGCACCGAGTCGAATGCCTTTCTGTAGTCTATCCAGGCGGCGGAGAAATTCCGACGGTTGCGTTTCACCACTTTGCCAATGACCGCGTCAATGAGGGGTGGTTTCTTGGTTCCACAACCACCGCCCCGGCATCCATTTTGAGCGCGTGACATCACCTGATTTAGCTCCAGGTGACGAGTGATTCTCGCGCTCAAAATGGATGTCAGTGTCTTATATATAGTGGGTAGACACGTGATGGGGCGGTATTTGCTCGGGCCTGTGGTATCCTGATCTTTAGGAACCAAATGAGTGATCCCAGTAGTGAAGAGGCTCGGGAGCGACTTCTGATCGAGAGCCTCTTGAAACTGTCGGGCGAGCACAGCGTGACACACTACGAACCCCTTCAGCCAGTAATGATGCAACCCGTCGAGCTCCGGACTTTTCCTGTTCGGGGCCCTACGGACTGCCTCAGCCACGTCTTCAGGCGTTATGGTGACGGGGTCCATAGGCGTAACACTTGCACTCTGGCTCGCCACAACTTCCATCCAAGGGCTCTCGCTGTGGTTTCGCTGTGGTGGTGACAGTGTCAGCCTGATCCAGTCCTGGGCCCGCTCCACATACCTCTGGTCGCTCCAATGATTTATAGAGCCTCTTCTGATCACTCTGGAAGAGACGATTCTGGTTGAACCGTGTCGACCTCTCGGTATATCGCTGAATCCGCTTCCCCCAAGCAGCGATTTTTTGCTTCAGGTCATCTATGCGCTCCGTTAGTTTTTGCGTGATATCCGGCTGGAACAAACTGATATTTGTCCCAGCAAACGCCATCCTAACGGTGCGCATAATCCTCGGTCTATTATTACCCGACCTGAAGCTTGTCAGTCTGCCGATAAGGGCCCTTGCCTTTGCGATACGTTCCTCAATTCTTTTTCTCCAGGCTGGGATGGCGCTACTTTTTTGAGTAGCACGTCCAGCCACGGGAAGTTTGGCGCCAATAATACGGCATACTGCCAGTGCGGCGCCAAAAAGAATTGAATCCGTCTCGCAAAGGTCCCAGCTGGCTTCCAAATAGGTCACCAGCATTGGGTTAAGAGCCCGCACGACAGCCCGATTTCGCTTGCTAAGGGGTATGCGGGTAAGTCGCGGTCGATTTTCGAGAGGTATGCTGCGCGTTTCCAGCATCGACTCTTCCAATATGCTCCTCATTTTCTCTAGTTCGTGGGAGACTATTCCATCATCGTCTGAATTAGCCACAAATGGAATGTTGACGGCAGCATCCACATATGCAGTTTGTTGCGCATCTAGTGGCGCCGCATTCCCAGCCGTAGCATTTCCATTCGATGGAGGAATAGCCTTACGTCGTAGTCGCCCGAGTTCGGCGTCACCAAATATGTTGGAGCGCAGGATGTACCTAACTCGGTCTGCCAGGTTTTGCTCAGTGACGGATAGAGATGGCTCCAGCTCTGCAAAAAAGCGATGCATCCTAGCCCGATACGCCAAACATCCAGTTTCTTCCCCTTTTGCCCTAAAATACGCCCGCAGTGCGTTTTCATTCATTGATTTAGACCAACGCATGCGACGTGCTCCACCAGCGGCGGGTGCCGCTTGCTGAGTCCGAGAAGACCCAGCCGACACCAAGCCTTCTGGTGCGGATGTTGGATGCGGGGGGTTGCTAGGTGGTCTTGCAACATCCCGCGCTCGGCTGGCGGCCCGCGTGCTGTCGCGTCCAGCGCCAGCTCCAGACGCGCCCTGGTTATTATTATTATTATTATTTTTGGTAGTGTTAATAGCGTTTCTAACGTTTTTAAAGATACATGTTCGAATTCTGCAAAATGTAAGTTTATTTATCACGTGATTATTTTACATGTCAGCTTAAATATATTCTGATACAGTGGTTCTTTTATTTAAAATTTGTTTCATCATACATCGAAGCTGTCAATTACTGCGTATGTCGCCACGCAGACAACATTAATTTATTTTATTTTTTATCCGAAAAAGAAATTAACCAAGTTCATATTTAATGTTCATCAATAAAAATACAACTATAATATTTTATTATAATTTTATTTATAATTTGTAATGAAATAAATTATATTTGTATTTAATTTTAATTATATTTGTATATTTATACAAATATAAAAATATATTTTATTATTTTGAGTTGCATTCAGTAAGATGCTGCTGCCCATCTCCTAGTTTGTTTCCCTTTATCGCCTCTTACGACATAAGAATGTCGTAAGTCACTTACAACTAACGCAATATTAATAGATCCTTACTAGACGAAGCCGGGGCGGATCAATAGTTAATGATATAAGTTAATCGGTTTTATAAAAATAGACTTCTTTCATAACAATGACTAATTTGGTGACGTAGGCGTGAAGGCGTTAGTTGGCTTTTAGATTTTTCTTATATTATTTATTATTTAATTTGTTTTACAGAAACTTTAAATTTCACACCAGTTTTCTTCCTTACAGAAAAACACAATCAAAACGTAAAAAACTAAAGTTGAAGTTACAATTGAATCGACAAAGTTTCCTCGTTAAAATGCGGATTGCATTTGCTGCTTTTTCCGTTCAAGAACTAACAAAATGTTTTGAATTCGATAAGTTTTAAATTTCTCTGTGTTTAGAAGATTTCAAATCGATCGAGTACTATATTGCTTTTCAGGCCAAAAAAAACTACAATATTACTAATACTTTTTTGTAGAATAAATTACTTGTACTTTATATAGTACAAATCATTCTTATATATGATGGGGATAATATAAATAATAAGGGAATTGACGTAGGTTTAACGTCTCAAGTTTCTGCTTTATGATGTAAACTATCTAATGCCTTTCCATTACTTGTAAGACCGTACTCCAACGTTTCATACGTGGTAGAACCATGCTGCAGTTATATTAGTAGTATAGTTGTAGCACGAATAGGTCGACTCGACCGGGAAGGACCACGCTCTCACAGAATACTAGCATAAAATAGTAGCTTAATGCTGCTGTATTTCGTATGGTAAGTGTAGAGAACAGGAGACCCTTTTTAATGGAAACGAGGTGTTCCATCTTAGTCCTCACGAGTGACATTTGCGTTTTGATTCGTAATCGGAGATAGATGTAGATATCTATGGACCACAGCAACTATTTACCATCAGGTGGAATGTGTACTTGTTTATCACCCTATCCTATAAAAAAAGACCAGATGACTGTTACTTACTATATTCGAAGTACTAAAGTCTCTTTTTAGCTTCAAAATCTATCGTATCTATTAAAATTCCAAATAATAAGCTCATATCGCTAAACTGTAATATTTACCGTCATACTTTACGCTTGTTCTTGTCTGTCTTTGTATACTGTTATCACCTTATATTCTTTCATAAACTTTTTTCTTTGTCTACGTAAAAGTAAAGTAAAGTAAAGTTACAGCCTATAAACGTCCCACTGCTGGGCACAGGCCTCCCCTCATTTCTGAGAGGGTTTTAGGGCAAGGAATTGTCCGCCACGCTGCCCCAATGCGTGTTGACGAACTTCACATATCTTCGAAATATTTTTTTCCTTATTCCTCAGACATGCAGGTTTCCTCACGATGTTTTCCTTCGCCGCCGACATGCTGGCCTTGTCTGCGTGGTAAGATGCATTCAGAGTAATAAGGCCACCTATCGTTATTGATTTTTTCATTTATTGGTGTACAAAAAAGAATATCATAATGATTTTGCCATAATAATATGATAGTATTTTATTTAATATTTAAAAACATAAATAGTAAAACAATTTGGCATAGTCTAAAAAATGAACAAACGCATTATCGTTGCTATTTGAAGCGTAGTATGTAAACAATATACGTGGTAGAGCCATGCTGCAGATAAATTAGTAGTATAGTTGTAGCACGAATGGGTACCCTCGACCGAGGAAAGACCACACTCTCACAGAATATCAGCGTATAATTGTAGCTTAATGCTGCTGTGTTTTGTATGGTGAGTGCAGAGAACTGGAGACCCTTTTTAAGGGAAATGAGGCATTCCATCTTAGTCCTCACGGGTGACAACGTATCTGTATTTTGATTCATAATCGAGGATAGATGTAGATGTCTATGGGCCACAGCAACCACTTTTCATCAGGTGGACTGTGTGCTCGTTTGTCACCCAATCATATAAAAAATATGGGTAAATCTTTTAAGAAATACGTGAGTTAACGCATCCTTTTAAAGGTGCCTATCGAAAATAGATTTTAGTATCTTAAAAAATACTGTAATATATTTATATTACATAAAATAAATTAAAACAATCTTTACTACTACTGAAGGTAATCCTTTTGTTATAAAAATTTAATATGCCTTGGGGTTGGATCTTACTTTCCTGAAGCAAATTCTGAACGATACAGACTTTTAAGTAATAGGGTTAGTCAAGACAACCTTTCAATATGGATATATTAAATTTAAATGCTAAAAAAGTTATATAAACAAGCTGTTTAAAAAATGTATACCTAATAACAGTCAACTACTTAACATAGGTCTCTCCTGTAGATTGCACTCATGGGGGGGGAATTTTCCATAGTTGCCACGCTTGGCAACCGCAGCTTTTTATTATTTTTAGTTGTTATCAGGAAGATGATATCGCCAATATTCTGTTTTACTTAACCTCTAACGTGACGTTATGGGAGAGTGGATATTTTACACCGCTATCACACAGTTTATATAAAAAATTTGTGAAATTTAAAAATCCAAAATCTACGTAAAAAACATAATGTATCTTAACTTGTGTCAAGAACACTTCCCTCCCTTCCTCAATCGCGTGAACTATCGCCATCGCAACTAATCCCAGGACATCAATTAGTATCTTAACTAATTAATTTTATTGTCTTTATTACAGTACATTTACACTGAAGAACATCCAAGACGTAATTTTGTAAAACAAATCGCACAAAATAATTCACACAACATGTTTTGTGGGTGGTAGCGTTCGCACTCACAAAAACTGTGTAGATTTTTTAACAGATATTCAAACTTATATTTCAACATGGAAATATTTCTACAAATTTGTTTTCAAATATTTTCTTTCTGTAGTAATAAAGATATAATATAGTTAAAATATGTAATAAATAATACTGTCAAGCATATTTCACTACAACATGTTATTTGACTTTGTAAACGCTTTTTGATACATTGACAGAAAACAGTGTTTAAAACATGTTTTTTTGTGTAATAATATAATAGATGTCCGCAAAGCTACGCCTAATTCTATAAATTGAAATAATTAATATCAATTTTAATGACGTACAGTAGAAGCGTAAGAGAATCTATTCTCTCATTTAATGGGTGGTAACGCAAGAACGGTTGTAGAAAATACATACATATGGCTTCCGATAGACAGCGCTATAACCATTTCGTGCACGTCAGACGTAAATACAGGCAGGAAGGCCGCCGACGGGCAGCTACGTGTGCGTGTGTGACGTCTGGCACCTGTGCAGAGATCGGCGGTCAACCGAACAAGCGTTGGCAAAAGGCAAGCCAGATAACGGGAGAAACCCACGTTTAGCAGTGTAATATTACCTGTGGATTTTCACTAGGTGATAATAAAGACAATTAAGAAATTTTGGTATTACACAAGTGTCCCGGTCCTGACTGACAAGATATAGAAAGTTAGCGAAGAACGTTATCGCGGTCCTAAGGGGCGACGAAGCACCTGCATTATGATCCTTAATTGATCATAAATGCAGGGTCTATAGGCTACAGCATCCACTTACTATCAGATGGTTTGTATGCTCGTTTGTCACCCTTATTCTATAAAAAATCATCAAGCTTGGCAGGCAAATTGGCGATTATCGATCTCGACGTTCCTCTATATGCACTATATGTGGTAGAAACATGCTGCAACCATATTATGGTTGTGGCATGAATGGGTCGGCTCGACCGGGGAAGGACCTCACTCTCACACTAGTATGTAGTAAAGTAAGTAAGGTCGTTAAACATCTCACTGCTGGATACATTTCTAAGAGTAATTTGCCTGTCACCACAATTTGAAAATTCAGACGAGTTAAGCTGGGAAAATATGGAATTAAAATCAAGAGTGTGCCGGAAGTAAATACACGGTACACCCAGGCCTCTTTCACTCTTGCTACCTGCATGATATTATTACTTACAATCGTGACGCACCCAGGTTGTAATACACAGTCGGGGCTAGCGCGTTGTAGGCAATTGGATGTTAAAGTTTTTTAATGTTTTTACGTAAATAATTATTTGTAAATACTTGTTGAAATAGTTTTTGTTTAGTATTTAGTGTATGTAATTGAAGGATGAGATAGTTAAAAAGTTCTAATGTTATTTAAAAATTAACGTCGTTTCTATAATAATTGTTGCGTGGATAGACACTAAATGACCAACGAAATGTTTGAGGTATCCGAAGGAATTTAGTAGGAATGTATGAAACTTGAATTTATTTAATTTTTAATATTAGATAGGTACCTATAGCAAAAAAAGAATTAAGTAATAAATTAT